TGAACCGGGGGAAAACAAGGGATTCTCCATTACATATAGCAACTGTAGAAACAACTACTGGTTCCAAGAAAAAAGGTGTAATATTAAGTGCTATTACACAGAGATGGGTGGGTGGTTCTGAACTTTGTAAGACAGTGCCAAAGGAGAGAGGTAATTCACACAAACCCTACAGCATCATTAGAAATAAAGCCGCAGAGAGGGAAGCTATCATACTTCTGCTGTTCCATGTGATGTTGTGATGAACAGTAAGGAGAAAGTCTTCCCTGTTAGAAGAGTGAAAAGAAGCCTGCTTCTGTATACTGTTTTTTTAAGCTTTGAAGACATTTTACTAAAATTTTCCTGGCTAGTTAACATGCACACTATAAAAAGCCTCTGACTGCATGTTCCCACTAGGGTAAATAAGGTTCGGCGTACATCCCAAGCCACGTCAGATGGATGCACACACATGCGCAGACACAGACTTAAGCCAGTTAAGAGCTGCTGAAGCAGCTTCCAGCATTAAAGCATTAATGACTGTTCTCAGTGTTGGAAAACACCGATGTTAAGATCCCTAGAAACTTCAGGCTTTGCTGGAAGTCTCTGGGAACATCCTATAACCACAATGTAGGAGGCCTCTCACTGCAAGCCAAGGACAAAGTGGATGAGTCTCTCCGTTTATCAAAGATTTGCCATCTAACAGTTAAACTTTATTTTACTAACATTTCACATCTGTGACATTATGCTACTATGACAAACATGGAAACGCTTTTCAAAACAGCATTATACTTGAATCAGTTCCTGGCACAGCGTTTGACCGCAGGACTGTGCCATGGCACAATGCCTGCCACCCAGGGGAAGGCAGTCCTTTCCAACCAGCAGCCTGAGCACCAATGTCGCAGCTGAGGGCTGAACGACCAGATCAATCTTCCAAGCCGTTCCTCCTTTCACTTGCAACCAGGCTGGGTCACTCAGAAATCAAAGGTTTGCAAGTCAGTCCTGTTATATAGAGAGACTAAACTAGACGTTTCCACCAAACACAGGAATTGGATTAAACTGAGTATGCGTGTAGGCTACTGGATTGTGAAACCTCCATTAACGCTCATTTCAAATACTACGTCAAGTATTTTTCTCCATCTCACTTTATAATAAAAAAGTAGGCTGTTAAGTCAGTATGACAAACCACGTACTTCCAAAGGAGGACTGCAGAAGGCACTCAAATCAAGGCAAGGCTTAATGGCACCGAGTTACACCAAAAAGCAGGGAAGTGTAATGCAGTGCCAGCCTCACAGCTGAAGAACGAGATAAAACCTTGAGGGGCAAGGCACAAGCAATCCAAGACAACCCACACAAAAAGTCTGAAAAGCAGACAAAGACCTAAAATAGCCCCCCTAGCAGTTGCTTTCTGAATGACTGATTCTACCCATCTACTGACAAAAAAGGAGGCAAAAAAGATCTAAGAGAAACCAAAACACACAAGCAGTAATTTAGCACTTTACAGGAAGGCAGTTACGCTAGTGGATCAGCAGCTCTACAACAAATGAGAATAAACAGCCTATACAGTAACTCTAGTTCATAAAGAACTAACCTCTAGAACTTTTTCTTTCCTTTGCCTTGTAACAATCTAGGCAGACCACAAATCCACATTTTTGGCAGACCCAATGAATGTTAAATAATGTGGCTTCGCATGCATCACACATCTCACGGACTCCTCTCACTGCTCTCTTCCATGCAATTTTGGCTGAAATACAAAATAAGCAGAATAAAAGGACTGAAATTTAAATGCAAAGCACAGAATGAACAGTCTTTATAGATGAAGCATTCGTCATTTTCCTCTCAGACGGAACTGGGTGTGGGGGGGAGGAAAGTGATCCTGTATAAACAGACCATCAACGTCTACCCCCTTAGCTGCATTACACAGCATCCCCATCGATGCTACTATCAATACACTATGAAGAAATTAAACCATCCAAAAACCACAGATTAAAGTAATACAGAAAGAATATTCCTGCTCAACATCAGTGGGTTGCGAGTACAAAGAAGAACTTCTTTAACATATGCTTTTAAGCCCGTGCAATGAAGAGAGCTGGGTTTTTCACCCGACTGCCTATGGGACATGTTTCACCTCAAGGGCAGCCAAACTGGTGAGTCGGATGGTTCAAGCTGGCAGGTGGGGAGGGAGGTGCCTGTCCTGGAGACCTGAGTGGTACTTCTGCTTTCTGCCCCACCTCCTCCTCATACTGCCTGGAGTTAGTGGAGCCACCAGCCTGTTTCCAGCCTGTGTCCATCTGCCATGAGACAGAAGGACAAACCGGCTTTGGTGGGGAGGAGGCAACTGTGTTAGCACATGCTTCGCGTGGCCCACGCTGTCACATTATTCTCCTTTGTTTTGGGAAGGAGACACGTCAGAAACACAACGTCTGTTGGCAGGAGTCGGTACCTGGCTCGCTGCGGGCCTTGGCTTGGAGCTGGCCGCTCTGGCTGGAGAGCTGGAGGCCAAGCTGGGAACTGAGGCTGCTCCAATCCCAACAGCAGCCTGGCCCTGGCCCAGCACAGCCACCAGCGCAGGGAAGGGGAATGGGCTGGCTTACCGAGGAAGGTCACTGCCCCTTCCCGACATGCCCTCTTACAAAATAGCCTAGTAAATCCAATGCCACAGTCCAGTGAAATGAGCTGCTTGCAAGGAAGCAAGGGATCATGATGAACGCAAGCATTTGACTAAAACTGCAGAACGTTTGAGAACATTTGAGATTCCCTTACCGTCTTTCTTCACCCAGGACATGGCTGTTTTCTCAGATGTCACTAGCTGACAAAATTTATCACCTATGATATCTAGAATGTATTTAGAAGTTTCTAGGTCCAGTTCGTCATCTTCATAGTTTTCATGCGTCCATAAACTCAGTGCTTCATCATCATATTGATCAGGAGAGGAGAAACCATCTATCCTAACCACTCCATTCTTACTAAAAGATAATCTAAAAATGAAAACAGATAGATTAACTCCATATATCATTTTATGCTGTGACTTACAGTTTACTTGCTAATTTACCTTACTGCTTATGTCTTACAAGAAGTTAGTTTTCTTTACCTTCTTTAGTATCCTGCCATATTTTTTTAATTTTAAAATAAATCCTGCTGCCAAAAATGGTTTTAAAACAGTGAGGAAGCATGAAAACTAAACTAACTTCTCAGGTACTTTTTGCATTCAGTTTACTCATCATTCTCTCTCTGTAACATTTAGTACTGCTTTAAAATTGCAGACAAGAAAATTCTCTTATTTTTCTTTTTTTTTTTTTTTTTTTTACCCAAAGTTTGGTTCCACCTATACTTCAGCTTTAATTTTTGGAGTGACTGCAATCACTCTAATATTTTATAGATATTTCTATCCCATTGCTCTCATGCTCAAAAAACGGAGTTTGAACACTGTATTTAAATCTTTCTAGGCAGAACAAATCACTAAATACAAGATAACATTTTTGTATCCACTAATTTCTGACCTTCAAAATAACTAAAGGCTTTCCTGTTACCCTACCTGCCTATATTCCACTAACCCTGCCTATATTTAGCTTATTTTTAAGTAGTAACATTAATTATTCCATCTTGCATAATACAGGATAATTCATTATACAAATGCAATTATTACAATAGCTAAGGAATTTTACAGCAACACCACCAGTAAAACAGTCCTGAATTCAGAACTAGGTACCAAAAATGATGTTTAGATACGTATTTCATGAACAAGACGACACGATAAATTTTCAGTTACAGTCATGACTTCTAGCAATAGCGCAAACTTCATTTACTATCTAAAAACAATGAAAATAGTTAAAGTGCTGTAAAATTTACCCCAATATTTTCAAAGCATTCAAATTTTTAAGCCCCGTAACTGGGTTTTAAAATGTTGGCAGAAAATTATCACTGATGTTCTCTCCTTTATACAGTAGAAAAACCCCCAAAACTCTGACACTGCCACATTAGGAAGCTAATTTTCTTATGCAGAAGGTATTCCGAGTCCAACCTTGAAACTATTCCTGTAGGACTACCAAGTCTGGTAACTAAAGCTTCATTATAAAAAAATTAAACCCAAGCTAGGGAACAATTTCCTGTCCAAAACGAGTTGGATATATACTGACAACACAGCCCACACACAAATTAAAGCCATTCTGTTCCGACCCGATAGCTGTGCTGCCTGCACCACGTATGCTATGCTGCATCCTGGGAAATTTTCTTCCCGACTTGTGAGTTTTCCTTGATTGACAATGAATTGTGAAAAAGGAGGTCACAACTCCTTTGTCCTTAGAAAACTCTGAGAAAACTTTGAGCAGCATTCCCACCGTATACTGGCATAAGAACAATTACGAGTAAGTGCAACTCCGTGGTTGTACAACTTGTCTAGAATAACTGAAGCTTGCCTTTTGAAAATCCCACTTCAAATGTCAGACACCTGTGTAATGGTGATGTGCTGTATTTTCTGCTTGCCTAATGTACACTGGGCAGCTGTTCTGATGTCTTTGCTATAAAGCTTTAAACAGCAATGAAGTCAATCCACAAAAGAAGAAATACAAATGTAAATACTGTTGAATTAGACGGTGTCTTTTATCAGGCAGACTGAGCCAGAAAAATCAGACAAGATTTCAAGCATCAAAGTCCTTTGTCAGTATTATTTTTAAAAGTTAAAACACCACATTTTTATCAGGAAGACAGCTGTACTTACCTCCGAAAGTAGTAAAATCTACAAAATACTGGTGAGTGAGTTGGTTCTTCTCCTTTCTTACTTCTTATTAATCTACATTCTCTGCATTTTTGCAAATTTGGTCCTATTTCAGAGCAAGAATCATCCTGCAAAAAGGACTCTCCTGTTTGCTTCAGCTTCTTTACTTTGCGCCAATCTTTTAACACTGAGCGAGGGATACCAGCTGCAAAAGTAAGGAGAGTTTCAGATGAGGTACTGGCAGCCCCTATTCACAGAACTCAGTCAGATCAGACAGCGCTCAATGTTTTTGAAAGTACATTTGTTACCTGCATAACATATTTCATTATTAATTCCGTTTGTCTGCCTGTCAGCACCAAAGTTTAAAAAGCATAGCTACCAATTAGACTTATACAGGCAGGAGAGCTACCAGGAACACCCAGAACACTGTATTTTCTCTTATATTAGGTGTATCATTCACCAAACATTCCACTAAATCTTCAGAATCTCATTCTTGCAAAACAAGCAAAGAAATACAATACCTCAATAAAGAAAGGTATGAATTCTGTTTCAAGTGAAGATGTACGCAAAAAAGGCAATTTAATGAATGAGAGCAGAGGTTAAAAACGAAAAATCCTACTTCTTCAAAATTTATTTTTGCTGAGGGTTACAGATATGATTACAGACAAGCAGCTCTATTCACATGTAACTCATTTGAACTTAATGTAAAATATCCGGCATAAGGAAGAACAGAATCCATTTATTCTGTCCCGTTTGTTGGCTTTGCAAGGCTAAGCAGTACAATTCTATTTTCAATATGAAAGTCAGCAGATCTGACACCGAGTAACACGAGGAGCAAATCTACTGAGTAATATGTGCAATTTTCACATACACATTTTGAAACTGAACCCTGTTGTTATTTAACCAGGCTTTCATTTTAATGACTTTTAAAAGTGGCACCAGTTTTATCTGCAGATAGATAGATCTATCTGTCATTTCATCTACCATTACTCCTGAAAGTTCATGTCCTGTAAACAGGGATCTGATAGAGGACGATAGAGGTCAGGGTGCAAACTTTGGACTTGGTACCTGGGTTCAGACCTGTATTTTGCCAGAGATGACTTTTGATGCCTGTGCCTCAGTTCATGGCCTACAAAACACACTCCCAACTCATCTAAGGAGCATGATGGTAATTGGATTAAAACCTGAGAGTAGAAAAGGCCAAAGTACAGGTTTGCTAGTCCAAAACAATGTTTTCTGCCTTAGAACCAGAGATCCTGGGAGTCATCTGGGAGCTGCTAGATTTCAAGCTCTGTGGGCAGGAACTTGGAAGACCCCCAACACTCGCAGGACTGTAAAATGCCTTGCTTTGCAGGAGGGAGCCTTGCAGCCTGGAGCTCTGAGTGCTCTGGCTAGCACGCAGGCTCCTGGGGCTTTCCGAAACGGCATCGGGACAACGCAGTTTTCAACCCTGGCAGTATCCAGATACCACCCACGTTGTGAAACTGCCACTGAGCCCCAGATCCTGAAGCACAGTTATCTTCAGCCACCTACAGGGAGCCCAGGCAGCTGTCCCATGGGGACCTCTTCTTTCCTGAAAGCTCCTCAAGGTTGCCTACGTTTTTGTACAAATCTTTGTGGAAAAGTCCTTTTTGTAAAGAAAACCTCTGACCAGTGCGCGCTCAGAAATTATAACAAAGCTCCCCCAAGATAAATTGACAGGAGTATCAGAAACACTCATATGTTTAATGGTCAAGTAGAAGAAATGGACAGAAAGATCCCAGGTCTATTAAGATTTCGAGAGAGGATGGCAAGCACAAGAAGCTGCTACCACGGAACAGGCCCAACCTGTTCCCATGCGGGACACGGGCTGTGCGACTCACAACAGAACGTAACACCAACTCATACCCATTTCCCAACCCAAGTTCCACAAAACAGTTCCCAAATGTATTATCATGTATCACTTTTATACTTGGGTACCGCTAGCCAAAACAAGAAGTGACTGCATCCCCTTAACTTAGGTAAGCAATCCTACAACAAACGCACCAAAAAAAATCTTTGGCATCAATACAAAGGTCATAAAGACCTAACAAGTTCCATGCATAGATTTACTGTTCACTTTAAGAAGTGAAACCGAAGACTTTATAGGCATGTTCTCCTTCATCTTCCCTTGGGGGGGTGGGAGTACTATAGAAAAAGTAACACCACTTTCACTGGACTCAAGCCAGAACACCTCAAACAGACTGCAGCACCTCCAGTACCCAGTACAACTTAGGGATCAAGTACTCTCAGATACCAGAAGAGTAACTTTATACACTAGGCAGTGAAAAGTCAGAGAAGGTAATTACAGGGAGCAGTACTCATTTTCTTAGTACCTGTACTTAAAAAAATCTTGCAAAAAGTAATTTAATGGTAGACTTTCTCATATTCAACCAGAACAAAGACAAAAGAATAGTCTTTGGAGAAGAATAAATTGGGATAAAAAAATAAGTTAAGTTCTTAAATAAAATGTTGGCAGACCAGTTTCTCTTCAGATAAACCTAGTTAGAATCTGCTACATGCTGCAGCATTACATTTAAATTGAAATTTGCATTTCCTTATATTTCTTTATTCCTTAAACAAGAGAGATGTTAACACCATGTAATACACATGCTAGTTAGGAGTGTGAAATGGCTCTCCCTCAAACCTTTCATTAAATTAACCAAATCTCAATAGAATGGCATCAGGCTCTCAAGGAACTGCCTCTGGCTTCCTGATCAAAGGATGAATTAAAGTTCAACAACAGAGAATCTCTCCCTCCAGTATTGCTCTAAAAATAAATGCATCAGATCTTTAAAAAAAACCCCAACATATCAATACAAGTGGCACAACTATATGCACCAGTCTGCTGAATTCTGATGGACAGCATAAACCAGTCTGTTTACTGCTTATTTTTAGGCCAAGAACCAGTTTGTTAACACACAGACAAGAAATGCTGAATTTCTTAAACCACAATATTTCAAATGGCCTCAGGACAGATAAACCTGGACCTACTCATGCATGCTTTTTAACTCTTTTCCCAGCTATCGCGCATGACGAACCCTCTGGGATTAACACTGTTAGACTTCATGTTAGTCTGTCTCTTCCAAATCAGATTAATATACTCACTGCTGTTACTGCCACTCTGTAACTTCAGCTTGCTTTTTTCTTTGGCACTCCTGCTAAGAACACCATTCGGTTTTACTTCTTCCTCTGGATCACCCTTTTTTTTCTGCAAATCATTTTGTTTCTTTTTGTAAGTTGGCTTGGGTTGCCGTTTAGTCCTTTGCTCTGACTTGCTCTCGCTTTCATCAGAGTCTCCACTTTCAGAGCCAGACTCGTAAGTTCGTTTTGCTTTTCTCCTAGGGTGCTTATCTTCCTTTGCTAACTTATCCACCAAGATTTTACTATCTATGTTATTTTGCAAATCATTTGATGTAGAAGCTATTAAATTGACAGTACATGGCTTAATAATTTCTGAAACACTGTTCCCTGAATTCTCTTTTTTATTAGTGTTTTTATCTTCCTCCGAATGCCTTGTTAGCCAAGCCTTTTTCAGTTTAGTGTGGTAGTTTGGCTGACTCGTCTGGGAAGTTTGCCCACTGCCTACAGAGTTCGCTTTGTTTATTGTATTACAGACGATAGCACTGTCTAGGGAGAGAGAGGTTGAAAATGTCTGATTTTTCACAGAGTTGGACTCTGTCTCACTGGTGTTACTACTTTTAAACTGAGCCGCAGCCAAGGCTGCCTTGTGCTTTTTCAAATGGACAAAGTCGGTGGAGGTGGAGAATCCCGAGCTGGGCTGAGCAGCGCTGCCTGTCTTGCCAGCGGCGGGTGTAACCAGAGCGGGAGTGCTGATCTTGCATTCCTGGGTCTGCGCCACCGCCTGACTTGCCGCTCTCGAGGTAGTACATTCCAGCGGCGCGCAGGCCAAGACTGTGTTCGATAAGGAGTAAGTCACTTCTGAACTACCCCAGCTTGACACGCTGGTGGTAGTTGCCGCTGATGCGGTGACATCCGTTTTGGTACTGCAGATCATAGTTGTGGTAGGGGTGACAGCACGAGGAATGCTGCCTTGCGAGACAGCTGGAAATTTCTTTTCATACTGTGTGCGAGCACTGTCTGAGTTCATATTTGGCAGAATGATTCTTCCAGTCTCCCTGGCTTCCGCTGTTTTCAGGCAATCTGCTTGATTTGTCACAGCTGAAGATCTCTCACTAACTCGATCTTTGGAAGCAGACTGCATTACTGGTACGCTATCGTATTTCGTGCTGGAAGGAGGACGCACAATAACAGATGCTGTAGCGGACTGTGACTTTCCACTCATTCTTTCAGCATGCCAATCCACTTTTTCATTATTTGGAGCATTATTGGACTTCCACATTTCTGACAAATTCTGTTCAGAAGCACCCTTGTAAACAGTCTGAGCTTCCTTAGGCTCAGGTACTAAAGTCGGTGGTTTCTGCAACTCCTGTATTTTGCCAGCACCGGCATTAACGGGTTGAACAGGGGTTAGAGTCGGAGGTGAAAGGCTGCTATAGCTGCTTTCCTTCTTCTCCAGGTTCTGGTGCACAGGGGGGTGAAAGACAGGGGCTCTATGCAACGCAGGCATACTCCGGAGTGTATTTGAAGATGAGACTGACAACTGAGTAGGGCTCCTGCTGTCACTTCTGAAAGAATTTACTGAGTGAGACTGCACCGACTGTGAAAGCTGCTCGGGTATCTTGCTCGCAGAGCCTTCGCTCTCTGGTTGGTGCTTAATTAAAGGTGGAGGTTTTGAAAGAGAAGAAATGTAAGAGGGGAGAGACTGGGGACTAGCTGCTGTTGAAGGACAATTAGTTTGCTTATCAACATATACACTTGAAGCTTCCTTTGACGGGTACGATCTTGGTGGTTCATTTACTACACTGTTAGACAAGGTGGTGAAATAGTTACTCTGCGGCAAGCTCTGTGGAACAGAGTGCTTCATTTTATACAGTTCTGACACAGAGCGTTCGGCATCTCTGTCATACTTTACTGAATGGCTTTTGGGACTTGAAGATAAGGACGTTACCCTGGAGTAGTTCTCTCTCTCTCCCTCCAGTGCTTTTATTTTAGCTGTAAAAGGAGCAACTTCAATACTTTCTTGGAGTATCCGTCTGTGTTCTTCTTTGTATTTGCTCAGTCGCTCCCCAGTCTCCTGTGGTGGCCTTGGCAGCTGGTTCAACATTGGATCTGCAAAATGTCTGTGCATATGGCTCTCCTTTGCTGTCTGCGTTCTGCTTTGCTCTAGCTCCGTCTTTACTGGTGCAGTGGTAACGGAACGTAAAGGTTCAATAAACGCCTTCCTCTCCAGTTCTCTGTTTGAGAAAGGTTAAGCAGACACAGGTTAGTCTGAATATAGCACAACATACTAAACAGAAGACCTTTCTTCCCATGCTTTGAACAAAGTTATCTATTAACACAAAATAAACTTTTCTTTATATTCGGTACGATTTTCAGAAGTCTTCAGATGACTCAGGAACTCAAGCACCGTTCCAAGTCAACAGGGCAGAGTCTGTTTTGCAGCCCACTGACAAGCTTTTCTCTATCAAAGGCACCCGCATTTACAAATAAACTAAAAGGAAGCTAAAAGACAACATCAGCTGCTGAAATGTACCCTCTCACACAGAGGCAAACAGCAAACTTACTCTTTGTGATGCTCTACGATACTTTTGGACAACGGTGGGCTGGAATGTGTTGTCAGTTTGAGAGGCCGAAGGGGATCTGCACTGGAGGGTCGCACAGGAATGTGACTCAGTAAACCAAGGCTGTCAGCTGAGGTCACCGGGGTGGGCTGGTGTAACCACGGGCTGGGAGTATTCTGTTAACACCAACCAGAACAAAAAAGTAAAATTAGATTTCCAAATAATCATGGGACCACAAGACTTACTGTATCAAGTCCTACCAACTTGAATTTAACGTTTTAGGTCACTTTTTGACCAAGTTGTAACATCTGATTGTACTTCCCCTGGACTTGTGGCCTACCAAATAGTTTACACATTTCAGAAGCATTCTTAGAACCATTTAATTTTCAAGTATTCAGCATGAATAGTTAATTTCTGGCATGGCATCTCAAGCTCCTCATCAAAATTAGCAAACCAGTGATAGTCTGACAACACTTAAATTCAGTTACTAGTAAACAGACCACTAGCTCTTCAATGAATCGCAAGAAGTATTTATTTCAAAAGACAAATACGGTTTAGTATTTCTGGAAAACAATTTCATCTCTGGCTGTATAACAAATCTCAATGTAAGGGATAGAAGAATCTCCTTCCTGGATGGTTCCTCTCCTTGCCCCCAACCAAATGATTAAGTACGATAATCCTAATTAATCCGCTTTATTTTGCCAGACATTTTTATTTGGCATAATTTCATAATCAGCAGACTATTAAAACCATAAACATACACGTCTGCCATACTTTGCAGCATGGCAAACGCACAGCATGCACAATTTTGTGCTGTATATCTAAATACTCAAAAGGCGGGCAATACCAACCTCCTCATTTACACACACCATGATAGTCTTAATTTAAGAAACTGTTTTTAAGTGAAGTTGACTACTCAGGTAAGTTTCTTTTTTCCTATCTTGTCTGAAACTCGTGTAACAACTCGCAGAAGAGACCAAGAGCGGGTCTCCATCCCTCTCCAATTTCCCCCTCTCCTCTGAGACCTGCTTACAAGAAACACAGGCAGAGGAGTGGAAAGGCAGGGCACCCTGCTGACGTGGTGCTCCAGTGCTAGGGACAAGCCTGGAAGAAGGGACTGGGACAAGAGGAAGCAGAGCTCTCATGCGCACCCCAAAGCCTCTCGGTGCTGCTCTATCCTCCACTCCTGGCACTGCCCAGAACTACTCCTCCTCCTCTGCTCCTCACCAGCCCAGCCCTCTCCTACTCCCCTCTTGGCAACTCCCAGCTGAGAGGTGCCGCAGCAGAAGGGGAGCCGAGAGCTCTCATGACACACACAGGCAGTACAGAAGAGATTTGCAGGTGCTACAACTTTGAAGTTCTGATTTCTATACTTTTGAATATTTAAAGCAACCGCTTGGGTTTGCGCTAACAGTTTTAGTGCACACGTTTCCTAGGCCAGGAGTTCCCACGCTGTGGTTGAATTCCCATGAACAGCCTGTAAGCTGTATTAAAGTATTATGCAAAAAAGGCCTGTCACCTCCTCCCTAGAGGAGCTGGGGAACATCTGCCTGTGCACCAAGCATTGCCCAAACAGCTGCGTGACTCCACTTGCACCCATCTCCAGCCCAGCCCAAAGCCGGGAGCTGCCACAGCCACCTGCAGACGGTAGGAAAAGGTGGGCTTGGGGGCACGCTTCCTTCAGCACACAGAGCCGAGGGTGCCTGCTCCTGCTGTTACAGCTGAAACGCAGATCCCTTTCTGCGATCGTGGCATCCATGCAAACCGACTTTGGAAACGCCCATTCTGGGTTTCTAAGACATATTTAAAAGAGGCCTCCAGTAAGAGAGCCAGAAGACAAGTCACCACAAGACAATTGCCACATATCAACATAATTAAAAAGCTACGTGCCTCGGTATGCAGGGCTGCATACTTCAGGCAGCCAAAGTGAAAACAGAGACTATCATAAGTTCTTCAAAATGGACTTCAGCATGGGGTGGAGCAGGCAGCAACATGAAAAAGATAAATCCACCTATAGTTTTCTCTTAGGCTTTTCTTCTCTGCTGCGTTTGACTTTATCACCATTTTGATCAAACTGACTTCATATTACAAGGGCAAGTCAAAGTGACTGTTTGGGAAAGACTTAGCCACAGTGGTTTGGCTTTTCTCAAGAATGAGGCTGGGGAAGAATAGCTTTCGCCATGATGAAAAAGAAAAAAATCTCTATAACCATTCAGAAACTCCAAGCTTTGACGCAAAGGCTTGCAATTTGGCAGAAGGACCACTGTCAGCGACATGCCTTTTGTGGTCCCTGTGAAAATCTGCCCAAATTAGGCCAAGTTGTAAGCCTCTGAAAATCAGTATGCACATGCTCAGTGGAGGTTTGATTGAAGCTGGCAGTAAAGCTTTCCAAAGTTTCTGTCTGCACTACACATGCTTCATCTTACACTGCTCCTCTAAGGTGCCTGCAATGAGCAAGCCGTATCCCAAGCCTGCAGGAGCTGAGAAAACTCTTCCTGTAATTGCCACGTCTGCCTGCCAAAACCCCTGCTGCGCTGGGCGTTAGGCTGAAAAACACAAACCATTTCTTCTGAGACTTCAGTGCTTATACACAGCGTACAGAAGAGTCACCCTGACACGAATACAGAGGAGTAAAAGCAGATGGGAAGGCAGGGATGTGTGTCAACAGGAACAGAAGGGGAGAAAAAGATATACCAAGAGAGGGTACACAGATAGGTGTAAAGAAAAGAGAAATGGGTGTACGGTGCAAGAAAGATTTATAAATGCTAGAGTATTTCTCTTTAGAACTTCCCACTGGATCTAGGACTCCTCCTGCCTCAGCCTTTCTCCATTATTTAGCAAGCATACACAACATTTCACTATGCAGATGATTGTCCTACCTTTCCTAGTATTTCACTTACCTAATGGTTTTCATAGTTTGAGGTAGCAAATATTCAACCAGTAGGCTCGAGGTCCCATACCAGCTGGTTGACCTCACTTGGTCATAAACTAAACCCACACATTTCATCTTTAAAATACTTAGGAAATGAAGGTCTGGTAGAACTCCCTACTCACATTCACTGTGAGACAGTGTTTATTACTGGATTTCCGCTCCTAGTTAGTTCTGTGCCTACTCAAAAAAAACCCAACGTCAATGCACACTCGGTGCGCTACAAACTACTGAGTCTCAACCTAGAAAACCACTGTTGGGAGACACCAGCCCCGGCTTAATACGTCATTAAGAAACGAGCACAACTTACCCTTCTCAAGGAAGCCTCTGCGTTAACAGGTGTTTCTGGGTGGACCCATTTGGAGGAGGGCAGACCGAGTCCTGAGTAAGCATGTGTTCCGTTTGGATACTGCCAAATAATTGGATAAAGCCCTAGCTGATTATAGGAAGCAGAAGGATGAGCTTGTCCGAGAAGATGTGGAGACTGGTGTTGTAACATCTGTTGCTGCTGCTGGTGTGCTAATGCCAAATGGCTTAAGCTGCTAGCATGAGCAGTCTCTAGTCGCGGGTGGCCACCCAGCAAGGAGGCAGCAGGCACTCCGGGTAACACTGCAGGAAGTAGATGAGGGTGATGAACAGAATGGTGAGATGCGGTACTAAGGGGGTGAGTGTTAATAGCGGACAAGGGAGCCTGAGCTGAAGACCCAGCTAGCAGATGGGATGAACCAGTTAATGCAGGATGATGAGCGTTTGGATTTAAACAGGTTCGGTGGGATGAGGAATGCAGAGGATAATTATGCTGATGCAAATAAGGTGAAATGTGATTAGTTCCTGTTTCTTGTCCAATCAGAGTGGGGTCCCTGTACACCGTGAAATGTTCATTCTTGTCAATGATAAGAGGACTTTTAGTAGCTTCTAGAGCACTAACTCTAGCTGGAACCGGATGAAAACTAGACCTAGGCAAATCATGATCAGTTTTATTGGCTGACCTTGTTAATCCAGTAGCATGGCTGTTTTGGGAACTAACCTTGGACTTCACAGTATCGGAAGATTGGGTGAATTTAGGCTTAACATCAGGTGACTTTGTTTTAGGATGATCAACTGAAGCACTAGGTTTTGACTTCACAGAATCAGGGACTGGACTTTGTTTATGCAGTTTACTCTCTTCTGCTAGAGAAGCTACATTTAACGGAGACATAAACGAGCCATACTGCACTTTTTCTTTTTCAGGATTTAAGTGTTCATTTACTGATAACGTTTTTACAACCCCAGGTTGTATCAAATCCGTCTTAACACCACTGCTAACCCAACTTTGATCAGCTTCCTGTTTTCTTGCTTCAAGGAAATTTGCATTTGCAAATTGTTGCTTTAAATCGCTGCTGTGAGATTCTATTTTCTGAACTGTTTGCAATCCAAAGGTACTTGCAGCATTATCCCGGCTCTCCTTTTCAGAGTTGTTTTCATTAGTAATGTCAACAACACATTTTGGAGTAGGAGGTCTGGGTACAAATTGCTCATTTTTTAATTCCGCGTTGCACTCTTGAACATGTGGGTCCTTGGCATTCTGCTCATAAGGTGTTGGCTGCTCTGCTGCATGGAGTGTGACGGATGACTTCAGTCTTTCTGTGTCTTCGTGTTTTTTATCCTCCTGTATTTCATCCCATGGAGACCGCCTATCTGTTAGTGTCTGTTCTACTCCCTCAATAGCTTGGGATTTTCCTTCTTCTCCATTTATCTTTGAAGTGTTCTTGCTTTTTAACTCATTTTCCGAATTTTGCTCTGAGGGCGAATCTGTTAATCTTTTATTTGAAATTTCGGAGTCACTGCTCTCAGAGTAATCTGAGATATTGTCTGTCCGCAATCTCTTCATATTTAGTTTTTTTTCATCCTCTTCAGGTTTTCTTCTTTTACTGAGGAAGTGTTTATTTTTGTTTTTGGGGTTTTCTGTAAAAGATAAAAACATGTCTATAACATTTTCAGTCTGATATGGTTTTAAAGAAGCTCTCCCTCCCTTTCCAATAACTGCTTTTACCTCCTCGACCTATATAATCATATCTTTCTTCTTTCACCTTCTCTTCATCAGGCATGCTGCTATCAGAGCCCTTCCTCTTATTTGGCCGAGTATTCCTCTGTTGCTGGTGCTGGTGAGAATTCTGTTTTGGTGCTGCAGTTTGGGAATTCATTGCTGGTCTGGGACTATTTGCTTGCGCACGTGTATAATGACCCTAAAAATAATTTTGTGATTAATGGACTTGAATGCAATTTTAATTAGCCACTTTAAACGTGTATTTTTAATATCTGCAATATACAAAAATACTTAGGTAAAAATATAAATGTATCTACGTGGACTGTGTTGCTGTTCTGGTTGGAACGAGACCGTCGACGTGAAGTGATGCCAATATTTTCACCTTTCAACAAAGAGTGAACAACATCATCTAGAAAGGTCATCTGAACCATAGAAGGATCAACATTCTGAGGTTCTAACACCTGGTTTATAAAAACAAAAAAAAAAGAAAAAATAATAATCAGCAGATGTACAGACACTGCTCTAATCTGCATTTTCTGTATCAGTGTTCACCAGTCTATTTTCTGTGCTAAAGACTAATCAGAGAAAAGCCTACTTAATCCTGAATAGCAGAACTGACGTATGACTCTCGACAAAGGCTGGGAACAGAGTAAAACCAAAGCAAATGTGTCTTTACATATCACTGTAAAAATAACATCTTTTTCTTTTAAAAAAAAAGTACCCCACCACCACTTCCTTCCCCTTCACTGACCTGCAAATTTGAAATTAAAAGACAATGAGCTCTTCATAGAGTAACCCTTAACTAGCAATTACAATATATAAATATTTTCTAAAAATTAGTTAATGTACTACAAAATATACTGCAGAAGCACATTACAATATTGCTTCCAACAGAAGCAAAACTGCTGAAAGGAAGGAATCAAAATGACTGAAGAAAGAATTCTAAGACTGGCAGAGTGTTACTAGTGAAGGATATTTCAGGAAGAAGGAAAAGCTAACCACATCTTTAATCAATGTCTCACAAAGTGAAAAAAAAAATATTTGGGGAAATTAATTAGAGTAAATTAAGGGGAAAATGTATTTGAGCATTAGACTAGTCTTAAATTTTTATCGTCACACATGATTTTGTCAGTCATTTCAAAGCAGATGGGTCATTCACTGTATTAATGTTGAGTCATTACTCTGGTCTCCTGAAACAGAATTCATTACTGCCACTAAAAATACCAGTATTAATTCTTTTTCTAACATCAACTTCAGAAATACAACTAAAACCCACCACAGTAAATGTAAATTAGGGCTGCAGTAAATGCTTAATTCAATAAACGGCGGAAAGTGAGTATTTCAGTTGCTTGGAAGAAGTAATCGCTACTGTAGTGCTAAAAGACTTCAGCGTTGAGAAAAGAAATTCTCAGCAGAGCTGACAGGGAAAACCAGTTCTTAAAACTAGATCACTCCACTTCAAAGACTTCACTAGTCAAATAGCGACAGCAGAAGAAAAGCAAAACCAGTATTAACCATATCACCGCACAAACGTTCAGCTTCAGGAGGGTATTAACTGCTAGTCCAATGCAAAGTCTTGCTGTAGTTTCAGCGCAGTAATAGACTTGCCCTACTGGAACTGAACAACTCAGTGTATTTCAGAATACCAGAAAAAAAAGTAAAAACTCCCAACACGTAGTTTACTTGACGCTTGTTTTCCGAGTATCGCATATCAAACTCACCTGGTCATTCATAACAACCATAGTGCGGGTGAAGAGATCATGATGAGTTATGATACCAGTAAACCACTGGGTGGCAGAATCCTGTCTGTACACTCTCACCCTATAACCATTTAAGGAGTACGGACCTTTAGAAGGGGAAGAAATAAAAAAGCCATTGAGGAATTCAGAGGGGAAAAAAAAGTATAAATGGGTTTTCCTGGTTTTTTAAGCTTCACAGCAAATATATAGTGTGCACGGCATGGACAGCAAACTACAGGCAATTCTGGCACAGCACTGCCTGTGGATTTTACTTTCATTCCGGAAGACATTTTGAAATGCAAATGATACATTTAAGTAGGCTTTAAGGTCAATTATCCTAACATTTTCAACATACAATTTTCTTATCTAACTAAATCTTTCTGCAGCCCTGATGACAAATGATGGGAAAATTCCTGCCTACAAACAGCAACCGTCGAAAAGGAATCTGAAAGGCTAGAAAGTGGCAGCAGCAGGTTATACAGAAGCTATTTAACAGGCTAGTCACATGCCCAGATGCTTTGCTGGGGAAAAGATTTACATCTTGGTGGTTAAGGCTCTGCATCTGCCAAGTCTTTCCCATAAGTGACCACAGAGTTTCTCTCCATTACAGCTGTCAGAAAGGCAGCTGAGTGATCCCGTCCCTGCTATGGCCACACAGAACATTCAAAAACACACATGCTATGAAGGCTTTAGCTCCTGTTTTCAGATACATCAACTGCAAAGAAACCCCGCACATCGTCCCTTTGCAAAGATCAGTTTAATTCACCTCCAAAAGCCCACTGGGGTGGGGAGATAGTATGATATAGTACTTATCTTACAGTTGGTTTCAAGACCTAGAAATCAAGATTCAACAATTTTATTCATGTTCGGTGTCTCACTTGATCATCATGACTCTTAAGCTTCATTGCACTTAGTGTTTATATAGCATTTTGGATGACCAAGCGATGCTGCCACCGAGTTCAGTTCCAACTGTGTGGGTTTCGCTACTTCCGCAACCAAACCCCAGGTCAGGCATACAGGAACGGAAGCAAAACCAGTCAGTGACAACATACAAAAATCCTAACTTAAATGATTTAAGAGTCCTTAGTTGCTCAACCGCACAGGCAAGGCCAGAATTCCCCTGTATTTCCTAAAAGTCATTTTTTCCAAGCCCTGCCCAGTACATTAAGCAAGCTCAACTATCTGCAGCAAAAAGGCCAAGGACCTCGCAGGTGACATCTTTCTCTAGTAAAAAAATCCATATTCACACGACTGGGTCCATTATACTCGCTGCACGAGAAAGTGTGTGATCACAAGGACTGTTTGAGAGATGAAGAGAAGTGCAAAAGCAGTAATAAGACATTTCCAAGTGGTCTTAGGGTTTAATTTTGGAACCTTAGCAAGGCCTTTTGAAATACCTTTTGCTTGGGATTATGTAGGTTTTAAAACAGCTGGGAAACAGAAACACCATGCAATGGCACCCTTCTTTCACCCACATCCACGTCATTCACTACACAACTGAAATCTCGAGACCCAGTGAACTCTCTGAGCTACCGCCATTAACTCATCCCCACAGCACATTTCCAGTGGCACAGACAAGGGCCAGAACTACACCAGCACTACCAATCACTGATATATATGGCCAGAAAAAGAGGAAGAATCTACAAGCTTATGTCTCACATTCCTGGTCTTGGACCAGACGGGTTCCCATGGGGACACATTTCCTGATGGCTTCTCTCCAACCTTACTCCATATGCCCCTGCAAAATGCCTCCAGCTCAGCTCCCACACTTCTGGCTGTCTGACCCAACCCAACACGTCTCTAACTTTTCATGGCTGTCCCAAAGCTCTGCCTTGTTCAGACAGTCTCGGTAAAATTTTGCTTGTGTCTCTTCGTGCCAGTTTCCCATTCCTATTTTCCTATCCCAGCTCTTCCTCTCTTGCATCCTACTGTTAACTGCACAATGACTTTCAGTCTCTTGTGTAACCAGAACCAGCCTCTCCCAGCTTCTTGTCTCATTTTAGCATTTACAATTCCAGGGCACCGGCTTCCAAGTCCCTTCCCAGTCTTTGCAGTTTGCAAGCTCCATCCTCCCTTCTCCATCAGCTTCCAGCTTCTCTTACACTCTTCTGCACTGACCCAGTGCCAATTTCTTTCCTCTTACTCCTTGTTCTAATTTGTGTCTGCCCTTCATCCCAGTTGTTATCCTATCTATTTTTAAAAGAGACTTTATCTACCTTTAAAAACAGTGTGTGTGCGTGTGGGGGGGAGTGGTGGTGGTTTCTTACGTGCTGCTGGGTGTGAGGAAGAAGGAGAAAGATTAAACTGCGGTCATGCGACACAGGACAGCTCAGCTCCAGCCCAGCCCAGCCACAAGCAGCCATTACAGGAAAAGCCTGGCTTTGTCTCCAGTCCCTGGCTGAATCACACTCAGCTAGACATTGTTGAAGCAGCCTGTGCAGTACTATCAGGAAATATCTTCAGGGCTGAAGCACGCTCAGTGGTTCAAGAGGATTATTATACACACAGCCTCAGAGATTGTAGTGATAATAAATCTAATAGGAAGAAAAAATTCAAAGATTTTAATTGTTAAAAATCAAAGACACTTTACGATGTTCCTTGAACTTGTTTTGTTTGTCCCAAAAGCTTTCAACTTGGCCAAGCTGGGGAGGAGTTTAGTTCTTTTAAAACAAGGAATAAACTACTTTCCTGCCAAATCTACAATCTCTACTGCAAAGCATGCTGCTGTGACTGCTACCCAAAGAAAAGGTCGTGAGGGCAATTTTTTTTTTCTTTAGTCTCATTCTTGCAAATAATTGGACTAGTTTTGATTAAGATTCCCCCTCCACAAATTGGAATGTTTCTTTTCAAACATTTGGAACTCAATTTTAATGTTTTTCTCCAACCCTCCTCTTTCTTCAGATAAACTGCATTTTAACGGTGACAGTCAAAGTAGAAAATACTAAGATATGAGATGATGGCTTCAGCATCATCGACAAGGAAAAGGCAGGATCCTAAAAATGCTGTAGAGGATGAAGTAAGAGAATATGGTAACAACCTTAATAGATGCGTCTAGACAAGGCAGAACTGAGAATGTTGCTTAAACTGCAGGGAACAGGAAAATGGTAGTAACGGAGAAGGTGAAGAAAATCAGAGAAATAAGGGGAGGAGAAAGAAAGGATAGCATGACTAAGATTACAGCAGCTAGCACGGCTGGAGGGCTGTCCGTAAGCCACCGAAAGGTTTGTGCCAAACACGAAGTCTCTGTGACCGGGAGCAGATGACGCCCCAGAAGAAGGTGACAGTAGTCTGTGCCGGCTGACCACCGTCCCGTGGGGCTGAGACGGTGGCACTGCAACAGCCCTCCCCATGAATGGCATGTCATCACCCGAGGCAACGCATCTCTCCTCGGGCCACGCTGCACCACATCAGGTAAGCAAGTGGATTTGAACTGCAGCTTCTCCTTAGACGAGGAGAGTTAGTCTGCAAGGACGTTTGGATTAGATTCATCTCATCATCTAAAATACTCCTAATTTGTGCACTTCTAAGCATCCAAACATCTGTTCGAGAAATTATATAAAATTATATATATAAAGATAAAAATACAGTTCCTGGCATGATGCGATGTAAATGAGTTGCATGGATGATAGGCTGGCAGTTTCATTTAGATGACTGTTTCAATATTGCTGGGGCTTTGCTGAAGTATTGATTCTGTACCAGAGACTTCTAATTGTCTTATTATTGTTACTCTAATGAAATACAATAAACAAGCTCAATTTTAGTTTCCTTTTCATACAGCCCTAATTTGATTTCACATCACCTCTCAATGCAGTTTTGGCTGCAAATTTCATCAACAAACTATTAACTCAAGTTTTATCTGAAGATATTAAGATAAAATCTACGATGACTAACACTGACATATCAACTTACTATCTACACAATGCCGTGCATGGCTTTTTTCAGCATCCTTTCTCTGTGGCCTGTAAGTATAATCACACCTAGTCAAATTAAAGACTCTACAGAAGGAAAGACACGAGTTTTTTACTGTAAATTCAATACTATACTTACCATATTCCTTTGGTCTTCTAATTTTAGTTTTATTAAGGAAACCAGACAGCAAGCAAACCTCAGCGCCATCCTTATAGTATCACATTATTTACTGCTCCCCTCTCCATCTTAATTTACAGAATGACTGCTTAAGCATTTTTGTCCTCAAATTGCTTTACTGCGTTGCCTGGGGATTTTAACCCAGACCCACAGGTCAGTTTCTGCCCCCCATTGCTAGGAATGCCTCTGTAGAGCTACCTGTCAGTTCTGCAGAAAGTTAATGAATATACTGCAAATGCATGTATTTTTATTATCAGCAACACTGAGCCAAAATCATTTACTCTAATTCACGCTAGTTTTCACGTAACTTGTATTTACAGTGCAAAAATGACGTATCTGTTTGCTGCAACCTTCCAGCATTAGAATCGAGTTACAAAATCGTAAGTGATTTGAAAGGCACTTTTCAATCGGGGGTGAGGGTGTGGGGTGGGGATCTGAAAGTATTCTTCATCTGTGACAGAACTGTGAAGAACTACAAGCACAGACAGATATCGGAGAAGTTATCACACGTAACAGTAACACTAACAGAGCACAGAACAGTTTTAAACATGCTAAAAGGTGTGTAGTTGCCATTCACACACACTTTCACAACAAATTTTACAAAATATTTATGTTCAGACTAACGATATTCAGCCATTGCTGTAATCACTAAGACATCAAACAAGAACAGTCTGAAGTAGTCATGCACAGCTTCTTACATAGTCTTGTTTTCTGGAATTAACAAATACTTCCAAAAAAATTACTTCCAAGTTAGAAATATATTCTCCATATTTCACAAGTACTATGGGATGAGCTCCACACAACTAATGGCCTTAAACTAGCTAACACAGAATAAAAATAACACAATTTCCCACATAATTACCTTGCATAAAAATCTCCTGAACCTTTTGTTCCTTTACCCAGGCTTTTACCTCCTCATGTAACTGCGGGTTATCCCTGAGAACTGGGTTTAGACTGTCTACGTCGTCCTAAAGTAGAGATTAAAAAAAGAACCATATGTTATGTTTACTTGTAACATTTCTGTTTATTTTCCTAGATGTATTTTAAAATACAATATTAAGTAGTTTGATGCTAATTTTACTGATTGCCTGCAAATCCCTGTGTTATTTTTAGAAAAAACTTAAAAGCGCAACGTAGTGCTAGAAGTTATTTCATGGGAATGTGGTATGTCAGATCCCACATGTGGCCAGACTTGTAAGCTATTAATAGGATCACACTTTCATAAATACTGTCTTACTACAAGCTAAAAATGCCCTCTAAAGACATCAGTGTTTACAGGTATGCAGAAGTAATTGTTTAAATAATGATTAAATGAATTTAAAAATAACAAATATGTTTTCCATATCTGTAAATTTTAATATGGACATACTGAGCATAAACATAAGATTAAAAAACCCACCAAGATAATGCATAAGAGAGCTGTATTTTAAGAGAAACAAACATGCTGAGAGAAACACCATTACTGATTTTCAAATGTGTAAGGCCTTAGTTAACTAGATAATTTCAAATAAGACATGCTTTAATTTTTATTTTTATTGTATTCAGTTCCCCTGGAAAAGATTCTTTTTCACGATTTTGAGTAGGACATCATCTGGGAAATTAAGACGTATTTGGTGGCATTGTTCTCCTAACAAGGAAAAACTAGTCACAAAATCTGGTTCGTATCCTTGAAAGCATGGCTTAAATCACCATTCATCTCTAGACTTTTAGAATATCTATTTCTATTTCAGAGCAAACTTGCTATTTCTGCCTTTGAGGCTGTGGCAGAGAAAGCAAGCTGCGCCGCAGCCTGGCAACTCCTCATGCAGAAGACGGTCTTGGGAATCCATGAGCTGCAGGAACATTCATTTGTGCTGAGAGAACTTCACACAGCTAAAATAATCAGAGCAATTCTCCACATACAAAATGTAAAATGTTTTATCAGTACTGCAGCTGAGATCAAGTAATTTCTTTCCTTGATCTCCAACAATTCCTTGATGTTTCACAATTTATTATGAAGAGCTCCAGCCATAGAATATAAAGATACAAGCAACACTCAGGGAATCGTGCATTGCTGCCAGGCCCTCGAGTGACACGAGCAATTTCTCTCTATTCATCTGGATGAGATTATTCCTGCTAACCCACTGATCACAGGATGTCTACTTCAAATTCAAAATTCACTTCTTGACACTTGAGGATTTGCTGTGCTCCATTACGGAGAATGCATCAATGCTTCAGTTATTAGAGAAAATTACTCTCTCTCCTTACGCTTTTGAAAAGGATATGGCCTCGGATCCAAAAGGAATGGTCAAGATGATGGTTTTAATACACGTGAAGTGGAACACAGTAGAAGTGAAAGAGAAGATCAACAGGACCTCTACCACCAGGTTAAGAACACCAACCAGGCAAGTATGTCACTAGCATTATCAGAGGCACAAGAGGGTCAGCACTAAAATTTATTCAAGAATGGCAGACTAGCAAAACACTTCCTCTCCTGAGGCAATCTAAAAATAGTATTAGCTGTTCTACTTTCCTGTGCAAATCCATTTTTGCATTGATCCTACATACAGAAGCAACACAACCACTGGAAGGAGGGAATGGTTTGCCAGGGGAACCCAAGAGACCCTGGAACTGGCATGTGATGACCATTCATCTGTCCCCCTTCCCATGCACTCTTTCACAGCAGCTGCAAGAGATTCCTGTACCAAAAATTTCCCCTCTCAGATCCACAAGCATTAGAGCTAAGCAACAGACTGAGGCACTGCAATACTGGAACTCTGACTGACTTAAAAATGCAGTTAATATGCAGATCTCGTACATTTTAGTAATTCCTTCGGTCTCATCTACAAAATTTTTTATCTTTGTTTCAAGATTATACACACTGATTAGGTAGCATGAAGTCAAAGTTGTTACTCTTAACATTACTCTACTTCAGTGAGTTCTTTATGCAAAGTTTTTGAGTCTCTATCGTCTTGAGCCACTTTTGATGTGTTTCTGAAGGCAACACACACTGTTGCTTTTCTTTTTTTATATTTCACATCCTTCCTAAGCATCTTTGCCTTCTTTGAACTTCACACTGAAGACACTGGTGATCCTACAGACAGTACATTTGAACCTTTTTTGTTCTATCTCCTATTCTGATCCATGCCATATCAGTACCTTTGATTCAGAGTGCTTGGTGTGAACACTCAGAAAAGGAGACTGCAAAATTCATTTTGTACTTCTTTCCTCACTCTTGGAGGAAGATTAACAAAAGGAACAAGTGAGGTCAAAGATCCATTACACAAACTGTGTACAGGTCTGACTGCGATTATGTAGAAGATATCAAAGAGAACCCAGGGTTTCTAAATATACAAACAAAATACACATTTAACATCATCAACCACTGGAAGGCGGGGGGGGGGAGTATTTGCTTCTAGACATGCACATGCTATACAGTGGTCAACAGAAATCAGTACAGCAAAGCAAAATTGTAACTGACAACTGAAGCTCAGTATCAAGATACTTAAAAAAAGGTTCCTGAAATCTCAAAAATTCTGTTTTTTTGTGTTTATATATATATGAAAAAATGTGTGCACCATGACTGACCTTTTTCCACCATTAATCTTAAATCTGAACATCTAAAAAACAGGAAATTAATTGCACAATGTGTTAAACTATAAGGTGATGGCCTTAAGCACACTGTTTTAGCACACACCACAAACTTTAGCAAAACCAGGGAAACAGGGCAACGAGCAAGGCTGATGACTTGCAGCCTCTTCCCTGTCTTAGCACTCAAGACAAGCAGATGACTCTGCACTGGCCAGTCTTTTTCCTTATCCTGTATTTATATTGCTCAAGAAACAACAGCTCTGTCTACAGATTTGAACCCAGGCAGTTACTACCTTCAGTTTTCCCCTCCTTGGTCAAAGTAGCAAGACTGACTGACTAACCCACAGCAGAATTAAATGACCTGTAGGATTTTCCTCCAGACTTTTCCTCATTTGAAAGTAGTTTCACTCACAAAAGTAAGTATGGTACCCTCTCCTAGACTAGTTTTTCCACAAGTCCTGGAATACCTCCTACAGGATGATACTAATCCTGGTTTGAAATCCTTATGAAATGCAAATCAGAATGCAAATCAAATAAACGGGACTGCAATTTTCTACTGTAGGAAGCTCTTTATGTACTTCATGCGGCAGTGCCCCTTGCTCCACAAATGACTATATGCAATATTGGGAAGAAGACAAAGGGCGTATGGGTTAGAAAGATACGGTCAAGATAATCCTTCCTGCCCTTGTGGAAGACAGTCACATGAAGCAACGTGACTATCAGAAGCTTACCAATCTACGTCAGGTTTTTTAGATCTTTGCTGCTATTCTTCCTTCTTTCCAGACCAAAAGTGGAATTCACTTCTGGTGGAGTGGACTTTCTGCTTAATTATCCAAAGAATACTGGAGTCAGTTGCATATCTCTCTAGGTGAGAATTCTCACCCGCTGGGGACATGCTTGACTCCTAAGAAGACCTGGGAAGGATAAAGAATTATATTTTTCCAAATAACAAAGTGAGCCAGTGTTTTTCTGAGTATATCTTTTCTTTCTTCTGGTGCAAAATGATAGAGCAGGTTGGAAACAATAGACCATACCATCAGGGTAAGATACCACGCTGCTCTAACCAGAAAGTAGAAATCTTTGTTCAGAGAAGTATTTTCAGAGAGCTTGTTTGGATAAACATTTACCATTCAAAGTCACAGCTGGACAAGTGCAGATCACTTATAATGCTTCTAAATTCCTTTAAGTCATGAATCAAACAGGAATCTCAAAGACAGTACCCACAGAAAAACAAGCCAAAACCCAAAGACGTACAGAAGTCTCCTACTCAGGCCCCATGCACAAATAAAATACTGTCCAAGATACTCAGAGGCTTCCCTGGATGAGCCGAACCTGCACGCTGCCTAAAGACCACACAAAGTGCCTTCTGAAAGGCTCAAGTGACCACAGGCTCCTTTTCCATTTTGGGCTGCTGGGCATGTCCGTGGTGGGAGCGCCTGCACATTTCCACAGCTCTCTACCTTCCCAACAAGACTTGCTCTATTGAAGCAAGATGTTTCCTCAGCATTTTAAAATACTTCTCCAAGTCATTCTTCGCAAACTTGAGGGGCAGAAATGAGTTCATTAAATCGAGAGATAAAACCCTGGAGCACAAACCACCACCATGAAAGTGTATTCAAGTAGCTGCCCCCACCCCCAATCACACAACCTACATGAGAATAAGGTACAGAAACTTCAGTCAGCTATCAACTCTCCATTGCCAGTAAGAAGAGGAAACCCGACAATATGCATTGGAGGAAAACCAGTCCTGGAAAAAACAGTGGCTTTTGGCAGTAAAGAGGCTCAAATCGGAGCCCTGAAGACCAAGCCTCAACACACGCTGTGCATTAGAATCTGCAAACGTTTATTTGGGAAAGCGCCTTCCTTGGCCACGGTGTCTCTGCATTTGGCTTCAATGCATCAAGGACATCTTTTTAATATCAGTAGGAACTCATTTCAGCTAGTGTTTTACAGAGAAAGACTAAGTAGATTTTGCAGTCCTCGCAAAGGTCAACACCACATTAGTCCTCACCATCTGTGGCTTAATTAACTATAGCTTCCTCTGGCTGCTTAGAGGTTTTCTGATAATTTAGGACATGAATTAAATGAAAACTAGTACATAACCAACTTGAGAGTCCTGTTTACAATGTTTACGCAGTATGCACCGCACACAGAAATAAGCTTTTTGTTAGCACTTTAATGGTAGAGGGAACACATTTAAATTCAAACAGTGCAAATGAAAAATTCAAATATCAACGTGTCAAAGGCTTGAACCTTCAGTTTTCTTGTTTCATGAGTATCTTGAAATAATTTTTTATAAAATGAGACCCCATCCTTTTTTTCCTCCTTTTTGCACCAAATAATTTTTACAGCTGCATAGAACTTCATCTGCATAGAAATTAAATTTGGAAACTGCAGT